TTTAAAATACCTGTTTTGTAATGTTACCTATGTTAAGTAGGGAACACAAACAAGTTAGACATATTATTGCTCTGCAAATAATTTGCAATCTATTAAGAACTTAAGACAAGTAAATCTTCAGAACAACACAAAGTTGAATATGATTAGTGCCATAGCAGTGATGGACATAACAATGTTAAATCTTCTGTTGGGAGGAAGAATAGAACCATTAAATCCTGGCTACGTCAGTCTGAAGTAATTTCATATTTTCTGTTGGAGTATCAACAAAGGATGTGAACCTCTATAGTTCTTTGGATCATCCATCCAAAATGTGCATTGTATTATTGTACAGTAAGAGATTACTTTATGATTCCACTTATACGAGGTACTTAGAATAGTCAAATTCATAGAGATACAAAGTAGACTGGTGGTTGCCAGAGGCTGGGGAGGAGCAGAAAGAAGGGGAAGTTACTGTTTACAAGGTATAGCATTTCAGTTTTGCAAGATGAAGGGTTTTGGGGAAGGACGGTAGTGATGGTTGTGACAGCCCTAACGATGCATTTAATACCACTAACTGTACGCTTAAAAAATGGTTAAGTTGTACATTTTGCTACATGTATTTTACAATAAAAATTCAGAAAAAAATTATAGGATTGTATTGTATTCAGTACTAGAGAAACAAGATGAATGAACTCACAGTCTAATACAGAAGAGAAAACGTAATCAAATAAAAACAGAGTATACTAGGTTCTGTAGGTGGTCTGTAGAAAGTGCTGGGGTAGTGTGAATGCAGGCATAAGGGTGTGAGCAGCACTGTCCACTGGGATTGGAAATTGGGGTGCATGGGAAAGGGGGTAGCAGGATCTTCAAAAGCTTCATACAAGAGTTAATATTTGAGCTGCCTCAAAAGGTGAAAAAGAGCTGGAAAGATAACAGAGAAGGTATTCTAAGCAGAGGCACAGAGGTATTAGAGGGATCAAACATCTGTAAATTGAGCAAAGTTGGGCGCCTGGGTGGCTCAGTTGGTTAAGCGACTGCCTTCAGCTCAGGTCATGATCCTGGAGTCCCGGGATCGAGTCCCGCATCGGGCTCCCTGCTCGGCAGGGAGTCTGCTTCTCCCTCTGACCCTCCTCCCTCTCATGCTCTCTGTCTCTCATTCTCTCTCTCTCTCAAATAAATAAATCTTTAAAAAAAAAATTGAGCAAAGTTGTCTGGCTGAAATATGGGACCAGTGGAGAAGAGTGGTAGGAGATGATGTTAGTGACACATGTGGGTGGGGGCTACACTGTTTGCCATGTTTGGACTTCGTTCAAAACCAAAGGCCTTCATCAGAAACGGGGTTCAGGATCACTTGCGAAGGTTTCAAAAGTACATACGGCCAAATTTATCACTGAAGATTTATTTTTAAGACATGTTAAGGTTCAGGGCTCCTGGGTGGTTCAGTCAGTTGAGCATCTGATGCTTGGTTTTGACTCAGGTCATGATTTCAGGGTCGTGGGATGGAGCCCTGTGTCGGGTTCTGCATTCAGCAGGGAGTCTACTTGAGATTCTCTTCCCCTCTCTCTTCCCCTCCCGTCTGCTCACACGCTCTCTGTCTCTCTCTCTCTTTCTGTCTCTCCAAAATAAATAAATAAATCTTAAAAAAAAAAAAAGACATGTTAAGTTTCATTAGCTCTGATGGCCATATGATATAGGATGTGGAGTGGGTGGAACCTAAAAGTAAAAAGACAAGACAGAAGGTTTGTAAAGCAGATGAAAGCCAATGACAGTCCAGGTGAAGACAGTGGCAACGAAGAATAAGAATAGATCTGAGAGGCATTTAGAAAGTCAAAATTATTGGACTTGGTGGTCAATGAGATGTGATGTGTAAAAGACAGAAATCAAAAACACTGCTTAGATTTCTATATCAGATAACTGGATGAGGGTGGATCCATTAATTGGGATAGTAAATGCTGGCATAAATACAATGTCTGGCAGATTGTTGAAAGAGGGGGTGCTCAATACATGTTTGTGGAGTGAATAAAATCCCCCTAATAATAATGATCATACAATTGGGGACGGAAAAAAAGAAGTAAGTAAGGATCGATTTTGTTGGCTTTTGACACATCTAGATGTGCCGGGGAATGGACGGGGCAGGCTGTGAAGAAGATATGCAAAGCAGGGGGTGATATCAAAACAAAACCCCACAAAGTTTAGGAAGGTAAGCCTGGGTTCTAGAAACCGTGAATAGATCAGTTTGCCTCTATGACAGTGAGAAGAGACTGTAAAAGTATAATGGCTCCACAATGTGATATGTCTCAAAGTCAGGCTGAAGAAGTTTTAACTAATTCAGTAGGTGATGGTAAGTCATGGCTTTTGGGCGGTGCCTTGCAGTGGTCTTTAGGATTATGTTCATCTGGAATACTCTTACAGCAGCAGTGGGATAGGATGGCGTGGGACAGGAAGAAATCTATAAGGGAGAAAGATCAGTTAGAAGGCTACTGTGAGGGTAGAAGCAAACCATAATAATAAGGAGAGCAATGATGGTCACAGTAGGAATGGAGAGGCAGGAGCAGAATCAAAAGATATTCAGAAAAAATTAATACGCAAGATCAAGTTCCAGATTGGGACGGTTGGAGGTTACAAGTGGATTCAGGGTAGACCCTGGGTGACAGAGTGTGGTGCTATCAATGAGAAGAAAAATGATGTCAGGAAGGTGAGCAATTTTAGGCAGAGATAATTGATTCTGAGGCACCAGCAGGATAGCCAGGTGAAGAAATATTTTGGCCACCTGGAAATGCAACGCTGCAGTTTAGAACACAGACTGGAGCCAGAAATGTAAACTTGGGAGCTATTCGGTGTAAATGATAAATGATGTGTGTGAGAGGATAGGATAGCCAAGGAAAGCAAAAATGAGCCCAATAGAACAAACCATGGGGGTGTGCTTACTCTTGGCTGGGTGAGGGAAATCTTGGAAGTAGAAAGAGAAGCAGTCCTAGGGAGAGACAAGAATAATCTGGAAAACACACCTCTCAAAAAAAAGGGGGGGTGGGAAACAGAGCTTCAAAAAAGAAGAGTGGTAAACAGTCAAATAGGGAATTTGAGGCAGAGGAAGACTGGTAAGGGCAGGTGGTCTGTTCACAGGCTAGGAAGCGTGGTGGGGATGAAGCTGGGCTGGCTGGGGTGAGCGAGGGAAGGTGTGGGGTAGGGCTTGCGGAAGCTGAACTTCTCCACATCATTTCTCATGCTAGAACCAGAAGTCTAGAGAGCTGGGTTATTGGTCTTATTGCCATTTCGTTTTAATGAACTCAATTCTTGGTATTCTCAGTAGTCATATAACATTCATCGAAACAACAGGGTAAGAACTATGGGTGCAAACAGCATTTGGGACCCTGAAGTTTGGAAGGTGATTCGTGAACACCTCCTGTCCAGGAGCACTGGGTCTCAACGTTTCCTCAGAGGAAAGAATCAAAGTTAAAATGACCACTTTGCATAGCAGTTGGTATGCCAGAGCTATGTGTGAAAATTAACTAGATATCGCCGCATTATTAATTGAACAAGCCTTTCTGTCACTAGTCTGAAACGGTACTTTCTTCATAAACTAAATCTAGATGGATTTGTGTCTATGTTTGGACTCTTCGTTTCTTTCCATTTTGTACCAAGCCTGTCGGTATTTACTTGGGGTTGCCTTGAATCTATGAATTAATATGAGAAGAACTGGCATTTTTACAATATTCAGTCTACTAAAAAGGAGAGTACTTAAGCCTTTTTTTATGTGGCTCAGTGGAAGATAATTACTTTTTCATATAGTCCCAAGCTCACCCTTTTCAGTTTATAGCTATATATTTCCTTTTTGAGAGGCTACTATAAATGCATTATTTCTTGCACTGTAAGTGTGTGTGCATCTGTGTGTGTAAGTAGAAGAGATGTAGGTGTTTTCTCAGATGAACAATTAAAATTTAAAAGAAATAATCTAAAGCAAGTTGAAGTTTTTAATAGCATCTGACCTTCATTAAGCTGATACACGTGTAAAAAAAATTACTTTGGATAATACTATGATGCAAAACAGAAAAAAAAAATGAATGCCGTTTATTTCACTTTGGGGGCTACGATTCTCGTATAGAAGCCCAGCTGTGACCGTTGACAGTTAAAATGTGATGGCTCTTCAGGCCTGCTACCAGCAGCGGGGGCGCCATTTTCCTCCTCCTACCACACAAAGCTCTAGCTAGACTCTAGCTCTTGCCACAGGAAAGCTACTCTGCTCAGCCCTGCTGCTTGAATCCCTGACCATGACCATCAGCGCTTCCACTTGTCCTCCCAAGGTGCTGGGGGGACTGGTTGACAGAAGCCACACAAGGCCTCCGCTGCCAGTCATACTCCCCACGGACAGAGGGGTTTTCGCATGGCTGATGTAGCCATGAGTCAGAACATGCTTGGGTTTTAGCTCTGCCTTTATCTCAGTCCTTTGAAACTTTGCAACTTGAAGAAAAACTGAAAACTATTTAACAAATCTAGACAAGGGGCTAGCAAGCTTTTACTGTCAACGGCCAGATAGGAAATGTTTCAGGCTTTGTGGGCCCTATGGTTTCTGTTAAAACAACTTACCTCTGCTGTTGTATGTGAAAGCCATCTCAGACGGTAAGGAAATGAGCCTGGCTACGTTCTAATAAAACTATTCACAAAACAAATGGTGGGCCACATTAGGCCCACAGTTTACAAATCCCTGTTTTAGACCAGTAAATTTCCAAACCATTCATTATTTATATTTAAAAAAAAAATCAAAAGTCTCCACGGAACTAAGCATAACAGGTTGCAAAGCACCGGAAGTTACAGAATGTAGAAAAATCACCAGATGGATTTCCTATCAATCTCTAAACAACAACTCTGAGCATAGCCAGTATTTGTCTGCTTTATGAAGCACAAGGGGGATCACAGTAAACAACAAACACACATCGTGACACTGGTCACTGCTTTGAGAAGGAAGAGGAAGTCGAATGAAAACTCCAATATTACTAGTGATGGGAGTATTCGCTCTTACTTACCAATCCTGTACTGCATTGAAGGATTCTTCATTTGTGATGTCATACATTAAAATAAAGCCCATGGCCCCACGGTAATAGGCTGTGGTGATAGTCCGGTATCTTTCCTGGCCTGCTGTGTCCTAAAAAATAACAATTTTTAATATTTGATTATATTATATAATTTTAATTATACATATTTTTATTATAAAATAATAATCTCTCCAAAAATAAGGCAACACATATTTTGGGAAGTGATTATTTCAGAAACAGTCATAATAGAGAGTCTACATTGTACTTGCAATGTATCACTATATATCTTTTTAGTCTTGTTTTCCCTCATGATTTTCATATGACAGCTCGGCAGTATTATGAAAAATTCTTTTTTTGGTAAAGATCTAGCTCAAAATACCTTCTACATATGTTCATTCCTGTTAAGCAGCAGATAACTATAGATAATAAAATAAAAAGATTATACATATGAAAATCTGTAGCTTTTTGTATAGTTTAAAACTAGAAGAGTTCATTAGCTCCAGCATTAGGTATTTATAATCTAAGTACAAGCCACTATGGGGGAAAAGAAGAGTTTTATGAACAGTTCCCCGCTTTTAAAAGCATGCAGTTCAATCTCACTTTCTTCAACTGTAAAATGAGAATAAAAATACCTGCTTTGTGTGGATATTTGAGTCAACAGACCTGGAGTTCCTGCTCTGCTATTACATAGCTGAGGAACGGGGACAATCCACTAAACCTCTGTAACTAAACCTCTCGAAGATTTAGCATGTTTGTTAGGACTATGTGAAACAATGTATCTGAGGTGCTTCACACACAGCCTGGCATACAAATGGTGGTCAATAAATGCTGAGTGCTGGCTGCTGTTCCTAAAGGTTGGGGAGGCAAAGCTAGCGTATGGCGGGAGATAGCAGCTTACAAATACAGAGGCTCAGCACCTACCAAAGAGATGGCATGCAATAGTGAAATCTGGGGATATGGCAGACACATTGCTAAAGTCACCTGCATATGTTACGTAGCTCAAGAAATTATTCCTCAATTCAACTGACTCTTGCCCCTTTGTCTTCACAGGATCTGGGCTATGGTTTATAACACCATGCTCCTTGGTTTTCCCTTTCACCACTTTCCCTGGAGATCGGGCTCTGATTTCTCTTTCTCAGTACTCTAGGTGCTGAGCACTTTGGACAGAAACATTATCTTCTTTCAGATTTTAGTCTGGATCCTCTTTCTACTCTTCTCCCAGACATGCCTCCTTTGCACATGGAGTACATCCCAGCTCCCCTTAAGATGTAATAGCCCGGGCGCCTGGGTGGCTCAGTTGGTTAAGCGACTGCCTTTGGCTCAGGTCATGATCCTGGAGTCCCGGGATCGAGTACCGCATCGGGCTCCCTGCTGGGCAGGGAGTCTGCTTCTCCCTCTGACCCTCCTCCCTCTCATGCTCTCTGTCTCTCATTCTCTCTCTCTCAAATAAATAAATAAAATCTTAAAAAAAAAAAAAAAAGATGTAATAGTCCTTGGAGGGGAAGCTAATGAGTTGGATGACACAAGAAAAGTTCCTTATCACCCAAATGAAACTAATATCTCCTGGGTCTCACTCTTGGGATGGGCTCATGTTGGATATGCTATTCCTCACCCACAGGTGTTCTCCAGCTTGGATGCTTACACCCCACCATAGACTAACCCATGAGAAACTTGAGGTTGCTTACAAGTTTCTCCTAATCTGTGTGGTATATTTTATTCAGCCACCTGCAATTTCAGAGTAGAGTGATCAAAGAAGGCTGAGGAGATCGGCAAATGATTCTAGGAGAACAGGGGGACGTGAAGACAAAGTTGAGAATTAGCTGACTTTTCATGAAACCAACAATAGGACCAGGGATGAGATTGGCCTGACTAGAAGAAGATATTTATGTGGTGATATTAGGGATATAAGGTTCCAAAGATAGGATGGAAACAAATTATGGTACCCAAAATAGCAAAAATAGAGCAAAATCTGTGGGAAAGGTCTTTCAGAACGTATCACCATTGGCAGAAAACAAAAAGGAAAGTACAGATTTTACCACATGAAAATTTGACAACTCCTTGAATATAAAAAAAGGTATAAATAAAATTAAAATGGTACATAATCAAATAAAGTGGGAAATATATTTGCATTGTACCAGAGAGACCAAAGGTTACTATCTTTAATATGTCAAGTGGTGCTAGAAATCATTAAGAAAAATGTTAATTAATCTAATTTTAAAATTATTTATATAGAAGCACATAAATAGCTAATTAATCGGTAGAAAGAGTTGAATCCCAAGCATAATAATGCTGCAGAGTTACATGCCTACCTAATAGAAGTTTCTCGGACATTATTTGAATGTCTTATCGTACTTAGTATTTTCTTTATATGAAAATGTAGATGTTTGAAATAAACATGAATATCATAAACTGCATATAACTGGGAAAAATAATCAAGTTTATTAAGCAGAAAGAAGCCAATCTTGAGCTTATGTGGATATTCTTAGATATTCATTGGATTTCATTCAATTAACAGCATATCCAATTGTGAAATAAAGAAGAAATTTAGAGAACCAAATTCCCAAAGACTATGTTTACAAAGCATGGGGTAATCAGAGATTGTGTAATATATTTCCGCTGTCTGGGGAACAAAACATCTTAAAACTAGTCATTTTATTTTAAAACATCTACTTTTGTCTTAGGTGCCTATTTTCCAGAATTCATTATCTATAAAATTACCTTTTTATTTTTTCTTATTGTGAAGTAACTTTAAGTGGCTATCTTGTCAACAATACTGTAATAGTGTCGTGTGGTGGCAGAGGGTAGCTCCACTTGTAGTGAGCACAGCATCACGCATAGACTTGTTCAATCACTAGGTTGTACACCTGAAATTAACATTGTGTGTCAACTATATTCCAATAACATTTTTTTAAAGTCCTAAAAATATGTAAAAATTTAAAAAGATAAAAATCTGAAAAGAAAAAGTTTTTTAGCATTGATTGAATAGTCTTCTCACAGGCTGGGGACCCCATTCCTGCTGCCTTCTCTATATAACAGACAGCTTTCCCCTGATTTTTCAGTAGGGGAAAACAGCCAATAAACCCGAGGTACTGCTAAAAAGTGACCCAGACCCTTCCTGTCAGGCATGTCTTCAACACAGACACTGAATAGTGGTGGGTTGGAAAACTGTGACATCTCTTTCTTCTTGACCTCTTCTGATGATAGCTTTCCTTTCCATAAGATGTTAATTTTATTTTGACAGTAAAGAATTTAGTTCTAGGATTATAAAACATTCATTTCAGTCTGTGAGTGTATTTAATCTTTGTGAGAGCAGAAATCAAGGCCCCATTATATTATGATTGATATATTATAGGAAACCACATGGTTGGATAGCCATTATCAAAATTCAAAAGTAGACAGAGGGGGACAAAACCAGTTTTCAAGAAAAAAAAATAGAAGCTTTCAGGAAGCACTTAAGTCATAGCAAGGACTAACCCTAACCCTAACCCTAACCCTAACCTTCCACACTGTTCTGATATGAACCCAGAAACACAATCTACTTGGAGGTAGTTGTCACCTAAAACCTCTCAGGGAAAATAAGAAATTGTACCAAATAGGGGTAGTGTATTAGGAAAAACAGAGAGTAGTTTTCCTTCCCAAATAGGAAGACAAAAAAAGAGTAAAATTAAGCTAATAAACCAGGCACCAAGTTGGCTCTTCATTGGTTTTGAGTACTGAAAACAATTTCAGAATTATAAACTCATTAGCATGTTCTCTCCCATGGTATCAGGAAGAAAAAGAAGTCAGAAAAACACTTCATTACATTTGACATTTACTAATGATGATAGAAGGTTCTATCTGAAAGAAAGGAACATTTTATAATGTCAAGTGCCACTAATGTAATTAAATGTGAGCAGTCTTAGAAGGCAACTGGCTAAAATGGTACCTCTTTTCAATTTGCTCAGAAAAATGGCTCCAAACCTTGGTTTTGCACTGTTCCTCTGCTCGGTTAATTCCGATAACTGGGGATACCTGCTGATTTTCCATAAATGTAGGCTTCTTATAATTGAAAAACACAACTGGAGATCTCTTACAGAGAAAATGAGGGATAAAAGTATGATTAAAAATGAAAACTTTCTTCCATGAAAGTTAGCTGTCCTTTTCTTCTCTTTTAAGAAAAATAAACTCATTTTAGTTGGTTTAAATATTTTGATTTCTCATTCATGTTTTTTTGTTGTTGTTGTTGTTTGGTTTATTTGTTTGTTTGTTTGTTTGAGAGAGTGCCCACGTGAGTGGTGGCACTGGGGGGAGAAGAGAGGCAGAGGGAGAGGGAGAGAGACTCCTAAAGCAGACTCCTGGTTGAGTGTGGAGACCAATGTGGGGCTCAATCTTACAACCCTGAGATCATGACCTGAGTTGAAATCAAGAGTGGGGTGCTTAACCAACTGAATCACCCAGATGCTCCATTTCTATTCATGTTTTTAAGAGGAATTTTTGGCTTTAATGATAGGTTTGATTAGCAAATACTTGAGTATATGTCAAGAAAAGAACTGTAAAACGTAAGACATTAGCATCTTGATTAAGTAGTAGCAAGGAACGTTTTCAGTTTGAATTTTGGCATTTTTGTCTTTGTTTTTGACTTAATTTTTCCCAATGAAATATTCTATATTTTTTAACTGTATATATGACATTCCCAAACTCTTCTGAAATTATGCAGAGATAACGTGCAGTTTTAAAATAGAGGGAATAGCCTTGGTATGTGAGGTCTGAGTTACATTGTAATTTGATTTTTGTTTTGGTGGTGACTTCTCTCTGTATTGGATTAAAGGGAAAATGAAAGTAAACATTAGGAAAGGAATATAACTCAAATAATATCACCACAATCAAAATACATTTATTGAACGTCTAGACAGAGAAAAATAGATTAAAGGATAGATAATCCTAGTACATGATAAAGTAGGTAATTTTATATGTGAAGAAACTAAACCAAACACATTGATGCTAACTCATTAACAAAAGTAATTTAATTAAACTAAGGGAACTAATATGTGATAACCCAAAAAGATTGTCAACAGAAATGCAAGATGAGGATCCTGCAACATAAGACATAAAACACATGTTATTGAATTTC